TCTGTGGAGTCCCTGAGGACTCAAACCACATCTTCTTCTCCTGCGTTTCCGCCCAATTTCTCTGGAGCTGCTTTTGTGAGGTGGTCGGCGGTAGTTGGTGCCACACCAACTTCCCGGACCTATTTGCTGAAATCCAGTCGTCCCCCGCGTCCTCTCGCCACATTAGGTGGCTTGAGGTTGGGGTTCTCGCCTGGACGTTGTGGACCATTCACAATAAGCTTGTGATCCAGCACGCTCCCCTTCGTCGCGCTACTGACGCTCTCTACAAATTTGCGGGTGTCTTGCAGCTTTGGTGGCCGCTTAGCCGCCACCTGGACCGTGACGCCATCTCCGCCTTCATCGCCGACATCCGATCGATGGCCGTCCGCCTGTCGCCGCCGCCACCGCCGCCTCCGCCGGAGCCTGATTAGACGCCTTGTGTGATGATGATGTTGTTTTTTCTTTCCTTCTGGGCTTGTTGAGCTGTGCCCTCAGCAGAATCTATGTACTTTGTCGTCAGACTTGGGTGTGTGTGTGGACTTGTGTGGGTTTGTATGCTCTGTGGCGGTTGCTTTATTTATAAAGCGGGGCGAAAGCCTTTTTCGGTAATTACATCTCACGTCTATCACGTACACGTTGATCCCATAATGACCAAGGAAATAGTGTATGTTACGAACCATCCAGCTTGTGATTTTTCTACGAACCAATCTGTCTTTGGATGGTTAGAGGGAGAGTGGTATCCCCAGACCACCAAGGTTCAAGTCCTGGTGCTTGCATTATTCCTCAATTTATTTCAGGATTTTCGGCGATGCGCTTTCAGTGGGAGGGGACATTCACGCCGCCGACGAGGCACCTACGGCGACTTCGTATATCTCAAGATGATATGCGGGTCTAGTCTCTCGAAAGTGCTCATAAGGTAGGGTGTGCGTGTGTGCATTCATATGAGTGAGTGCATGCGCGTATGTATCGTTTTCCTTGTTAAAAAAAACTTGTGATTTTTGCACAGGTTGCAATTCCAACTTTTACATGCACATTATCGTGTCCATTTAATATATGCATGATTTTGGACAAATATCTTCAAGATAACATATAGTATTTTTAGATTATATTTATTTTCCCAAATTTTACATCCACATTTCTCTTTTTCTTTCACTTCCATTTATTTCGTTTTTCTTTTTCATAGTTCCCACCTGTTACGCCAATACATAACCCATTCACGTTACTAATCAAAATGCTCAGGTTATTCCGCTTGAACATACTTCAAATAAAACTGTACAGAACAATTTTTGTGCCAAAGGTATCTTGCAAAGTTGCATGCATGTATGATGAATCCTGGGGACTTGCATAAAATATACGCGCTGGCATGAAAGCGCTACCCTCCGCTAGCAGCTGCTGTTCTTCACGCATATAGATGGAAATGTACACACTGCACCCACTGGGCGCACTACTCCAACTGCCTTGTATAGAGCATAAACAAGCAGATGAGCGCTAAGAGCCGGGTGACAACAACTGACAATCTCCTCTTAAACTAAACCTGCGCATCAGCCCAATGACACAGACATGCATGCATGGAGCACTGCGAGAGCAATGGAGAACTCAAGTGCTAGCTGGGTTTGGATCTGACCTCGGGGATTGCTGACTGGCGTCAAGCATGCAGACACAACTAGTTTAGTTTATGACGTCCGAGGCAGCATCCAACGCGCGCATCTTTTGAACGGCATTCGTCCCAAGATGCACCACATGCACGTGATCGCTACCTTCCCCGCTCCCCATAGATCTAGAGCACTGCTCACAAGCAGCTAACTCGACACACACTTGTGCAATGAGGAGCCAGCTGCTCATGGAGGAGTACAACCTCCACAAGTACGTTAAGAAAGATGTTGAGTTTCTCCCAAAGGAGCTTGAGACAATGCACGCTATCAAGGTTGGTGAGGTGCCCCGGCATGAGCTCGACAACAAGTCAAGCACTTGAAATAGGCTTTCACACCATTTTACATATGAAGGACAACCCATAGTACACGGCCGAACGATATAACGAGTGAGAAAGCGCTCTTACAACGGAGGTCATGGTATAACCGAAAAACAAAAATCACATTGAAAACGCGGAATCGACAAACAACACAACTACGCTAAGAGCCGGGTGACAACAACTAACAATCTATGCTTGAGCGCTGCAGAGAGGCCAAGACTACGAGTTCACAAGGAGCATCAGAGTGTCCGTGGGATCTCAACTGCTAGCTGGGTTCTAGATCTGACCTTGGGGCTTGGTGACTGGCGACGCGCATGCAAACACACCTAGTTTAGTTTATGACGTTCGAGGCGGCATGCAACGCGCATCTTTTAAACAACGTATTGTACGTCCCAAGATGCCATGGCTGTAGAGTGAAATTTTGTTGGAACACAAAACCCAATGAATCAAACGAAAAAAACACAATTAATGCAACGAAAAGTCCAGTTTCATGCCAACAAAGTGGCAAACGAGGCATGCTGACATGGATGATGGGTGTGGGGAGGTGTGTAGTTAGAGTAGTGTTGACATGAATGATGGGCATAGCAAAATTTAGGATACTACCAAGAAAATTTAGTCTCCATGCAATTTTAGGTCTGCTTTTGGAGCAGTTTGGGGGCCAAAAAATCTAAAATTTCAGTTTTTTGATATTGGACTCATTTTTTGGTATGTTGTTAAAGATGCTCTTAGCATAGTGAAATATGGGTATATTTTTGTCACAATAAGTTTGCTTTATGAAGTTATCTAAAATTTCAGTTTTTCAAAATAAGTTTGCTTTATGAAGTTATCTCAGTGTCCATGTGAAAATATATTCGAGGAGATGGACTAGTTAAGATTAATTTCATATTTTGAATGCAAAACGCAGGTAGTAAGAGAATATTAGTGACTCAGTGAAGATTCGTTGGAAAAAGTTGATTGGTGAAGAGTTAGGTCTAGTGCAAATTTAATCACATTTATTAGTTAATTACACTATAGTAACTAATTAGCTTTGCTCTTTGTAACTAGTAATGAAATGAGCCCCTCCGTCCAGTTTGAATATTTCGGTTTGGTAGAGAGTATTCATTGCTTTTGTACTGCATAGGAGTACTTTACCATCTGCCCATTGTCAGGATGGAGGAGAGAGGGTAGATGCAATAAGTCTGGCAGGTGACTCACCAACCCAACTGGCAGGGGTAAGGGCATCTCAAACGACGTTAGTCACACATACACCCCCAAAATGTCCCCCAAGCACTGGCCATACAACCCTATGCCTTAAACAAGGTGGACTCTGTGCCATTTCACAACTCAAAAGACCGCTAATAAAAACTAATTAGTGGTCTGATTAACTCTTACCTTCTTACCTCACATGTAAAAAGAGGGGGTAAGAGGGAGCGTGTTAAAATTTGCAAAAAGTAAATCTTAAATATCCTACTCCTCGATGCTGGAGGTGAGGTTGATGACCGCCCTCGCCCTCCACGCCGGAGCCGCACACCGATGCATTGCCCTTAATACAGTGAAGCACGTGGTGTTTCCTCTAAATAGCTCTTCCGAACTTATTTTTTCACTAGCTTCTTCAAAAACTTATTTTGAAATATGTCCTTAGATATCGATGCTATACCGTCTGATGTTTGGTTTAGCATCACTACATGTACTATTATTTTCGAAAAGGAGGATAACCCCGGTTTAGCATAACTTCAAGCTGTCAAATATGAGGATACATTTATGGAGGATTATGCTTAAATTTTAAAAGGGCCATTTTGGGATAATGATATCGTTTGAGGTTTTTGAAGCATGGCTAGTGGACTGGTGGCACTGCGTTATATTTAACTGAATGCGTGTCTCTGTGTTCTCTCCCTCTAGTACTATTCAAAGAGCGTGCTAGAGTACAATAATTTTTTCTCTTGATTGACTGCCGTGTTGGTCTTCCACTGAGCGCTCCCTTCCTCTCATCTCAGTCATCTCCTCCGTTGCTCTCCCTTGAATAAGATTGATCCACCCTTGTTGCTCTCCTCCTTGGTCCTCTCCTCCTCCGTCCTCGCCCCTGCCAACCAACTGCCCTATTGGCGACCGTGGACATTTTGGGTGTATTTCCTGTCGATTTGTTTCCAGTTAAAGTAGCAATGCTTGGATCCAAAACTTATTAGTTCTCGTGCTTGAGATTCTGACCCATTTGTGTTGATTGAATCCAGGGTGGGATCGTGGGGCTCTAGTACAGACTACAGAGTACTACTGTATTCCTCTGCTCTTCGTCTCGCTTCCCACGGAGTACTTCTATATTCCAAGCAATTTCCTCTCTTGGCCGCTCTTGGTCTTCTTCTGCTCCTCGTCTCTGCTTCCTCTCAGTCTCCTCCATTGCACGGCCTGGAACAGATTGATCCGCCTTGTTGCTGATCTCATCCAACCTCCATGGACATTTCGGGTATATTTCATGTCGACTTGTTTCCAGTGAAGTAGCAATGCTTGTGTGGATCTAAAGAGTCTCATCGATTTTCGTTGGTTGAATCCAGGGTGGCAGTTTCCAGTCATTATTCAGAGCACCATGCATCCAAGGCACGGACCCGTCTAGCGGCCTGGTAAAAATTTCCCTCCCATCTTTCTTGCTATTCTCTTCTTATTAATCTGCTGATTTGCTAGTAGAATATAAGTTCTTATTACTTATTATTCCAGATCGAGTGAAGCGGCCTCACGCATCTTGCATGTGGTGCGCTGGCACCACTTCCGCTTCGTTGTCCCCTACGACGCCGTTGTCTTCAGCTCTGCCCATGAAGCACTGAGGTGGGTTTAGTCCAGATCTCGCTAAGTTTTGGTTTGGCAACTCCGTTCGAGAGCTAGTTGAAATTAAAGCTTCACACAGTTAGGATTGGATTACAGCTCCCCTTATGCTAAGCTTTAATTTGGCTGCTCAGTTCTAGAGGCTAGAGCTCGTTCGAGCCTTCACAGAATTTGGATTGCATTACAACTCCCCTTATTCCTCCATTTACAGGTTTCCAGCTGATTGCTCCAGCGAGCTCTCATGAATATCGTCACGGGTGCCATGGGCAGCCTGCTCCCCAAGCTGGGTCAGCTGCTCATGGATGAGTACAACCTGCACAAGCGCGTCAAGAAAGATGTCGAGTTCCTCAGGAAGGAGCTTGAGAGCATGCACGCTGCCCTCATCAAGGTTGGCGAGGTGCCGCCGGACCAGCTCGACGGGCAAGTCAAGCTCTGGGCCGACGAGGTCAGAGACCTCTCCTACAACATGGAGGATGTCGTTGACAAGTTCCTCGTACGCGTGGATGGCGACGGCATTCAGCTGCCTCACGACAACTCCAGCAGATTCAAGGAGCTCAAGAACAAGATGATCGGCTTGTTCAAGAAAGCCAAGAATCACCATCGCATAGCTGACGCGGTCAAGGAAATCAAGGAGCAACTCCAGGAGGTGGCTGCTAGGCGTGACAGGAACAAGGTAGTTGTTCCTAATCCTACGGAACCAATTACTATCGATCCTTGTCTTCGAGCTTTGTACGCAGAAGCGACGGAGCTAGTTGGCATATATGGGAAGAAGGACCAGGAGCTCATGAGGTTGCTCTCCATGGAGGGTGATGATGCCTCTAAGAACAGACTAAAGAAGGTCTCCGTTGTTGGATTTGGCGGATTAGGCAAGACCACTCTTGCTAGAGCAGTATACGACAAGATTAAAGGTGATTTTGATTGTCGGGCATTTGTTCCGGTTGGGCAGAATCCTGATATGAAGAAGGTTTTAAGGGATATCCTCCTTGATCTTGGCAACCCTCAATCAGATCTTGCTATGCTGGGTGCCAATCAGCTCATCAAAAAGCTTCATGAATTCCTAGAGAACAGAAGGTATGCATCAGTTGTGTGTAAATATATTGTACGTCACACGGAAGGGTTCAGAATAATTTTCAAGGTCACCTTTACTGATGTATGCAGTTTGCACTAAACTGTAAACCTTATAGGTGCTCAATTTCACGCCTGTATAAGTATATATGTTTGACTCTTCCCTCCTTTATCGAAATAATTAGTAACTACTTCTTGTTGCATTTGTTACAATGGCTGAAACTTATTGGCATTGGTCCAAGAAATCTATCTAAACATTTTACGTTACACCAAAGTGAGTGTAATGACAACTGTAACAAATAATACACCAACATGGCAAAAGGAAGGAAAGAAAGAGTAAGATAAATGTTACAATTTTTTCAATCAAACTTATTTCTATCTTTCTCCTAACCCGGACAGTTTTAAAACACAGATTTTAAAGGGTGACAACGTGTGCCAAAGGCTACCAATTGTCTCTTCATTATCGCATTATATGTTGTATATTGGATTCATGACCAAACAAGAAGTTAAATTGTCTCTTCACTATCACATTATATTTTCCATGTATGCCCTTATTTTAGAATCTTACTATCAGCAAAACATAGACAAGAGGATAATGCTACACTATTTGAGTGGGTATCCAAGAGGTTCATTAGCTGTCATATATTAAATTGGTGGGCTAATCTGTACTAGGGTCTTCCCAATATATCTACCTGACCATTTTAACTTCCGTAGTTAATTGTATTTTACATATGGTCACTGATCCAGCAATTTGCTAGTTGTGTTTTACTCCCTTGAATCATAAATATTAGTTCATTTTGTTCATCATCTGACTGTAGGATCATAATGCATGCTTTGTGGTCAGGTTATCAAATTTATGATGCATGTCTGTTACGAGTTTGTTTCTGAATATATGCCCTTATAGAAGTGTAGTTCCACCAATATATTCATATGGCTTCTAGCAAAGGCTTTGTGATATGTGTAGACCTTACACTGATACTCTGAACTGATGTAGGTATCTTGTGATAATTGATGATATATGGGATGAAAAACTGTGGGAAGGCATTAGCTTTGCTTTCTCCAACAGGAATAATCTAGGCAGTCGGCTAATAACCACAACCCGCGATTTCGATGTCTCCAAATCATGTTGCTTATCGGCTGATGATTCAATATATAAAATGAAATCTCTTTCTACTGATGACTCCAGAAGGCTCTTTCATAAGAGAATATTTCCTGACGCTAGTGGATGCCCAAGTGAATTTCAACAAGTGTCTGAAGACATATTGAAGAAATGTGGTGGAGTACCACTGGCCATCATTACTATTGCTAGTGCTTTGGCTAGTGGCCAGCAAGTGAAACCAAAGCATGAGTGGGATATTCTACTCCAGTCCCTTGGCTCCGGAGTAACAAAAGATAATAGTTTGGTTGAGATGCGGAGAATACTATCTTTCAGCTATTATAATCTACCGTCTCATCTGAAAACTTGTCTACTATACCTATGTATATATCCAGAAGATAGCACCATTGATAGAGATAGACTGATATGGAAGTGGGTGGCCGAAGGATTTGTCCACCATGGAGATCAAGGGACCAGCCTGTTTTTGGTCGGATTAAACTACTTCAACCAACTCATTAATAGAAGTATGATCCAGCCAATATATGATAATATAGGCCAGGTATATGGTTGCCGTGTACATGATATGGTTCTTGATCTAATCTGCAACTTGTCACATGAAGCAAAGTTTGTTTATGTATTGGATGGTACTGGGGATAACATGTCTTTTCAAGGCAATGTTCGTCGTTTGTCCATTCAAGACAGAAATAAAGATCATCAAGGCACACCTCTCACAGATTTCATGGGTATATCACGAGTAAGATCCATTACTATCTTTAAATCTGCTATTAAGATCATGCCAACCCTGTCAAGGTTTGAAGTTTTGCGTGTACTTGATTTGTCGGCCTGTAACCTGAGAAAAAGTAGCAGCCTGGAAGGTGTTGGACACCTAATTCACCTGAGATACCTTGGTCTATCAGGTATTGGATTCAGGGAACTCTCGACTGAGATAGGAAAGTTGCAATTTTTGGAGGTGTTGGATCTTAGAATCAATAAATACCTAGATGAATTGCCGTCCACTCTTTGTAATTTGAGAAGATTAATCTGCCTAAATGTTTGTCCCTGTAAGCTGGTTCCAGCAGCTGGTGTGTTGCAGAATCTGACATCCATAGAAGTGTTGAGGGGGGTCTTGATCTCTCTGAACATTATTGCACAAGAATTTGGCAATCTGGCAAGGCTAAGGAAGCTTCATATTGAGTTCAAGGATGGTAGTTTGGATTTGTATGAAGGTTTCGTTAATTCTCTGTGCAACTTACATCGTATTGAAAGTCTACGTATTGATTGCAATTCCAGAGAAACATCTTCTGAACTGATGGATCTCTTGGGAGAACGTTGGGTGCCTCCTGTACATCTCCGTGAATTTGAGTCTTGGATGCCCAGCCAACTCTCTACACTGCGAGGGTGGATAAAGAGAGACTCCTCACATCTCTCGAACCTCTCTGATTTAATCCTCAATTCAGTGAAGGAAGTGCAACAGGAGGACGTGGAAATCATCGGGGGGTTGCTGTCCCTTCGCCGGCTCTGCATAAGGAGCACCCACCAAACACAGCGGCTGCTAGTCATCCGTGCAGATGGGTTCCGCTGTATGGTACAGTTTGAGTTGAATTGTGGGTCAGCGACGCAGCTAATGTTTGAACCAGGAGCTTTGCCGAGGGCGGAGGCAGTTGAGTTCAGCCTGGGCGTGCGGGTGGCGAAAGAGGATGGTAATTGTGGTTTCGACTTGGGCCTGCAGGGGAACCTGCTCTCCCTTCGGCGGTATGTCAGGGTTTGGATGTATTGTGGTGGAGCGAGGGTTGGGGAGTTCAAGGAAGCGGAGGCTGCGGTGAGGTGCGCCCTCGAAGCCCATCCCAACCATCCCGCGATTGAAATTAACATGTTCGCATATAGTATAGCAGAAGGTACGCATGTCCAACCTAATTAATTACTTGTGCACTTACATATGTTTTCTTTTCTCAATGACGGACTGACCTTATTGCTTTCCGCATGTATTTTGATCTCTGAATCTGCCAAGGTGCTCATGATGACGATTTGTGTGAGGAGAACTGATTTACGACGCAGGGGGATTCACAGTGCATCAGGTGTACTCTTGGTATTTACGTATTTACTGATTATATTTTCCACTACCTTTCTTTCTCCATCTCTAGAGCTCAGCTTGTTGCTACACTGGTATACTGCGCTTCACTAGGAGGCATGAGAGAAGTAAAATTGGCAGTGTAGTCTGAAACTTGCTCAATCTCAGTTTTGGCAAGTGCTGATGAAAGCTACTCCCTCCGTTCCAAATTACTCGTCGTGGTTTTAGTTCAAATTTGAACTAAAACCACGACAAGTAATTTGGAACGGAGGGAGTAATGATTTTAGGATTTATTATGCAATCTTGTAGAAGGGTAGTTGGTGGTGGGGACGGAAGTAGATTTTGGGAAGATTTGTGGATAGGGCATCTTGTTTTAGCTGACAAGTACTCCAGGTTATACAATTTATTTTTGTGTAAGCATATCTCTGTAGCTCCAGTCCTAGCATTAATTTCACTGCTCAGAAATTTAGAAGGAATCTACTAATTGTGAAGGTTTTAGTCTGAAGCATGTAGACGGCCTTTCAAATTTCTGTGCGTTCTATGCATATAGCTTTCAAAGCTCATAAGTGAAACGACCATGCAGAAAATTTTGGTATGTAAAAGTTCTACTTAATTAAGATGAAATTATTACTGTGGTTAGGATTCAGAAATAGTATCTTAAGCAGAGATAATCTGAATCATAGAGGTAGTGTGGAACTGGAAAATTGGCATCTTTTACAGTAGAAAAGAGTCAGTGGGTCATATCTTTTTGAAGTGTTCGGTTGCTCATTATATTTGGAACACATGTGGTTTTGATACAGTTCCTGACTTCCTGTTAGCATGGAGGGACTTAGTGATTGGGTGATTAATTTCAGTACTACAGATAGGAATTTGGTTACTGTAGGTGTAGCGGCTGTTTTTTTTTTGCGGGTTAGGTGTAGCGGCTGTTATTTGGTCTATTTGGAGAACGAGGAATGATAATTGGTTGAAAAATATTTTTCCTACGAATCCCAGCTGTGTAGGTTGCAAAGTTAAATATTGGATGTTTGTAGCTTACAGAGAAATGTATTTCACGACGTGCAGGTAGTGGGGGCCGCGGTTACTGCTGGTGGCATCGGAGAATTGAAGGATGGAAAAGTTTGGAGTTTCGCTGGAAGTTGTTTGATGAGCTTCTTTTAAATGGCAGTCAGCTTGCAGAAATAAAGAGATGTTGCTTGGTTTTGTAATGAATAAGTAATGGTGTTGGAGTAACATGCTGCTCTGCTTTAGCTTTTATAAGCTGAACCGGACAAATTTTGTTAGAGTTGTGTCGAATATAGTGTACAAGGTAGGTTATAGTTGGACTTGTAGTTGTATCGTGTTTACATAGGATGTGGAGTCGTGTCCTAGTAGGACGCTTGTATCCTAGGCCTCTCATATATAGAGGGGATAGACACACGATGTAACCTATGCCAACATAATAGCACAGGCGCGCAAGGGGGAGCCGGCGGCATGTGCCTGCGACCGGGTGGCCAGTGTGCAGTATTGTGACGGTGTCACGGGGAGGAGCGCCCGTAGTCAAGCCCTGGGGATGTAGCCATATCGGTGAACCTCGTTAATAAATCTCGGTGTCGTGCTTGTGTGATTGCTTGATCGTCGGATGATCGACGGAGTGTCTCGGATTAATTCTAACAAATTTTGTGCTCTGTTTTGCATGTTTGTACATGCTGCTCTGCTCTTCTTATAAATGGCACTCAGCTTGCACAAAGAGATATTGGTTGGTTTTGTAATGAATAAGTAAGGGTGTTGGACTGAATTGATCCTCAATTACAAGGGTAGCCTGCTTTCCTTTGCTTCAGTTTGAGGGCCATCGTTGCTGCTCCGTTTTGCATGTTGTTACATGGGAGGCCTAGCCCATGACAGGCTGGTGTTTTTTGTTTTTAATCTGAACCGGACAAACCTGAGGGTGTATTATCAGTTTCGTGATGAAATGAATAAAAACCACACTTCACTGTTGGGTATGTTATTAAAAAAGTATTTCCTAGTTCTACCAACATGTTTCTGTTACGGATGGAAAGTGTGATTCCAACTAACAAGTATTTTTATAGTGTACTTCCAACTAGCATGTGTACCCATGGTAGCAAATTATTTTTGTACTTTTAAAAGCGTCGTCGCAAAGCCAAATGAAGCCTAAATCTGACAGTGATGGAAAGGGCTATATATTTATGCCGGTTTATTAACTAGATCATTCAATATACCAGGTTGATTAGGAACAGAAATGTACCAAGTGACATTGTGTACGCTGCTACACCTAGTTAAAAATATATGAACAGAAATGGGTTTATGTGGACTGAATCTTGCAACGAAACTACTCCACACCCGATGCTCTAAGCAGCAGTCTGGGTGAACACAGACGCCCGCGTCGCCTCCTGCCGCGGCTCGGTAAGCTTTGTGGTGCTCCCACGTGGCGGCAGCACTGCTGTTGTGCGGGAGGTGGCAGGCCAGCGGGATGCGGCGCATGGGGATGGTGAAGGCCTACCCGGCTGTTGGCGGTCGCCGGCGGCAACGGCGACGGCTATTGTCGTCGTTTTTCTTCTTGAAGCCACCGCCGTGGAGATCCGACCTCTACTACTGGTTTAGGCTTTTTAGGCGAAAGCCTAAGACCAAACGGGTCGGACGTCGTCGCATCCCCCTTTGAGGCGTCGTTTTGAAGAGATTTGGTTGTGTTCGTGCATTCCAGAGGCTGGATGCTCACAGCATTGCGGTCGGCTGGTGTCCGTCCGGCAATGTAGGCGGTTGGCGTTGCGACTTGCATGGCGAGCTAGGTCGCAGTTGTTCCTTCTGATGTCGACGGTCCGGTGCGCCATCGGGTGCTCCTATGTTTGTTTCTCGCTGGGACAGAGAAGTCGAAGCTGTGCGTGGCGGGGCCCCTGCGATAACGATGACTCCATAAGGGCGGTTTCAGCGGACGGTGCTCTTCAAGGGTTGCGATGGACTAGGTCGATGCGAGGCTTGCAACTTTCTCATGTGAAGCGCGTCAACAAAATCGGAGCTGCCAGTCTTTGATGTCTCGGCCGATTGTTGGCTGTGG